TGAGTAACTGTACATCGCTTTGAGCCCACTGAGGAAAGCGATTAATAAATGGAAAGTATTATTATTATTATTATTATTATTATTATTATTATTATTATTATTATGTCCAGCCCGCTGCACAATGCAGGAAATTCACAAATACCTTCCCCCACACCCCCAGTGACCCCTGCTCCATGCCCAGAAGATGGCAAAAAATCCTCCAGGATTTCCAGCCAAACTGGCCTGGGGAAAAAATTGCTTCCGGACCCCAAACATGTCCCTGGGCATGTAAGAAAGGGCCACAAGAACTAAGCACTGATGCAACCCTTCCTGCCCTCCCTCTCATGATGTGCCTAAATTAACAGAATTAGCTCTGCTGTCAGAGGGCCATCCAGTCTCTGTTTAAAAACCTCCAAAGAAGGTGAGCCCACCAACTTCGGAGGAAGCCTGTTCCAATGAGGAACCACTCTTTTGATTTAATTTCAACTCATTGGCTCTGGTCTGTGTTTGGGGGTGGCACACTGAACTGTGAGCCAGCAGCTGCAGTCTAAAGGGGTGTTGCTCTATTACAGGTTTAACAATTCAATAAGAACTACATCTGAATATGAAAATGTGAAAACCATATTGGTGTATGGTAAAGTAAAGAGAAGAGTGAATGTTAGGGTCAAATAATTCATGATATGGGAAATCTGTGATCAGGATCTCAGTTTTTGTAAAAAGCAAAAGCAGCTGTGTGGGCGAGGGGTCCAACTGAGATCATAGCTTGGGAGAGGGTATTTAACTCCCCTCTGCACTATTTTCCCAATACAAATTGCCCTTCTAGAGCAGCTATTTGGCAGGAAATGTATATGGTTTATGTACATTTTCCTTTAATGAGCAAATAGTAGCATCGGTAGTGTGAGGAAAGAAACAGCCACTCTTCCCTCCCCACAGCACTGGTCCAGATCTCTCCTGTGGGTGCTTTGGCCATGGGGGGGGGCGGGGGGAGGAAATCCTGATTGTGGATTTCCAGTATCACTTGTAGTTTGTCCTTTAATATCTAGAAATTGAAGGAGAGGACATACATAACATTGGTTTTTTCCCTTAGCCTTTCTGTCACTCATTACTGTTTGCAACTATGTTAAGTTAACCAAAGGAAGAGGCCCTTCTGCTTATTTCTCATAGGGTTGCCATCTCTAGGTTGGGAGATCCCTGGAGATTCAAGTGATAGAATCTGGGGAGGATGGGGTTTGGGGAGGGGAAGGCCCTCTGGGGAATATAATTCTATAGAGGCCACCCCCCCCCCCCCCGAGCAGCCATATCCTCCAGGGGAACTGATCTCTTTCATCTGGGAGATCAGTTGAACAAAGTTTGAGTCCAGTGGCACCTTTAAGACCAACAAAGTTTTAATCTGGGTATAAGCTTTCATGCACACAAAAGCTTATACCCAGAATAAAACTTCGTTGGTCTTAAAGGTGCCACTGGACTCAAGCTTTGTTGTGCTGCTTCAGACCATGAATCTATCTGGAGATCAGTTTTAACTCCAGGCCCATCTGGAGGCTGGCAGCCTTATTCTACCAGCTTTCCAGTTGTGCCCACAGTTCAGCTGCAACGTGTGTGTTGCTGATGCTAACTCTGGACTCTTACTGCAGGTGTGCCAAGAGCTCATTGGCATTTTTACTCTTCAGCAGCTGTCGTTAATGAGCTGCGGCGGCATTCTGCTGCAATTGGCTTGCTGTGCCTTTAAAAACCCAGCTGAAACCCTACAGAGTTTTCTCTAAGCAATTCTGGGCTTACCACTGGATGTCAAAAAGTATATATAATAAAAGATACAGTAGAGGTTGTTGCATAAGATCCTCTGAGCTAGAGCAGAACAAATATTGCCATGAGGGAAAAGTAACAGCCACTCTGGGTGAACATAATTACACTGAATCTAAGTCAATTATTTGTATGCAAAGAAATGCAGGTTGCTGAGCTATACATCTGTATGCACAGTTTTTCATCAGTTCCCATTTGTCTGAAGCAGTTCACCTCAGCATAATCGCCTTTTAAGCTGGCAGGCTGCAGAGAAAGCTCAAGGCGATATTTAAAAAGATGAGAGATTGGTATACTTTATTAGGGGTGTCTTTTCTCTGCAGTTCATGAATCCTGGGTGAAGGCTGTTTCAGGACACATCCTTCCTGTTTAGCTTTTTGCACTTTACAGTGTAACCCTATGCAGAAATGTTCCAGTCTAAGCCCACTGTAATCATTGGTCTTAGACTGGAGTAACACTGCATACGACTACACTCTTAGTCTACTAACATATCACTGTAATACCCCACCATCGCTAATGCTATTTATGACTGCAAAGATCTGAAAATCAACCCTATTTCTACCATATGCATAACATAATTTTATATCTAGTATGCGCTTTTATACAGATGGATGGGAGTGCAGGAGGCTCAACCATAACCCACAAATTCAAGGGGGTAATTTCTGTACAAAAGGTGGAGCCGCTGTTTCACTGTCTTTTGGGACACTACGTTAGATGGCTAATGTCTCAAACTACAAACCAAAAGATGTCACTGTATCTATGCCCCAGTAACAGACATCTCTAATGCCACTGTAACTAAAAAAACCACTTG